AGCACTATTTTTAAAAGAAGATACAAGGCTGGGGAAATTCAAATTGACTAAGAAACGATAATAAGGGTTTTGTTGTGGTTTAGGGTTTAGGGTTTAGGGTTTAGGGGTATACATTTTATTTCTTTTATTATACTTGCTAGAAGAATCGAAACCAAATAAAAAAATAAAAAAAAAATTTATTTTGTTAATCCCGCATAAGCTACAAATAAACAAATAGCGTTTAGTCAGACTTTCGAGTTTTCCTTAACCGCCAAGAGCTTACGAGGGTTTACAAGGGTTTACAAGGGTTTACAAGGGTTTACAAGGGTTTACAAGGGTTTACAAGTGTTTGGAATGCTCTACAAGGGTTTATAAGGGTTTACAAGGGTTTACAGTGCTCTACAAGGGTTTACAAGGGTTTAAAAGGGTTTACAAGGGTTTACAAGGGTTTACAAGGGTTTACAAGGATTTAAAAGGGTTTACAAGGATTTACAAGGGTTTACAAGGGTTTACAAGGGTTTAAAAGGGTTTACGAGGGTTTACAAGGGTTTACAAAGGCCTACAAGGGTTTTCCAGGGGTTTACAAGGGTTTACAAAGGCCTACAAGGGTTCACTAGGGTTTACTACGGTTGACTAGGGTTGACTAGGGTTTACTAGGGTTTAGGGTTTAGGGTTTAGGGTTTGGGGTCAGCCCCCTGCCACTCCGAGAAAGAAACCCTCGAAGGGTTTCCTCTCCGCAAATTTGTTCGCCGAATTGCAGTGCGGTCGTCCACTGGCCCCCGCTGGTCCAGAGACACTGCAGCAGCAGCAGCAGCAGCAGCAGCAGCAGCAGCAGCAGAAGGATTATTAACAGCAGTAGAAGCAGCAGCAGCAGCAGCAGCAGCAGCAGCATTAGTAGCAGTAGAAGTGGCAGTAGTAGCAGCAGCAGCAGCAGTAGCAGCAGCAGTAGAAGCAGCAGCAGTAGCAGTAGCAGCAGCAGCAGCAGTAGCAGCAGCAGCAGCACCAGGAATAGTATCGACAACAGCAACGGCAGCAGCAACAGAAGCAGTAGCAGCAGCAATAGCGGCAGTGGTAACACCAGTAGCAGCAGCAGCAGCAAATAGTGCTACTTGTGCTGCTGCTGCTGCATGTGCTGCTGCTGCTGCATGTGCTGCTGCTGCTGCTGCTGCTGCTGCTGCATAAGCAAACGTGTGCATGCATCTGCTGCTGCAAACCTGGGTT